TAGGGAAAGTCATTCTGAGAAATGAGGCACACCCGGTATTTCCTAGTCCTCCTCAGCCAATCAGACTCCCTTCTGATGCTCCCATCTTTCCTCCCCAGCCCGGACGAGCCTCTTCCCACTGTAAAGTACAAAGTTTCCTGGACAATTTTCTGACAATTCAGAGAACGTGAGGCTGAGAAAGGCCTTTCGAATTCTCCTAATCTGACAACAAATCTGTACAGAGGAGCGGTGAAGCCAGAAGGCTGAGGCGTGCCCCCAGTTTACTGCCTCCTGCGGGGAGGTCCCAGCCCAGCCCACAGCCTCCTGCCGCCAGCCTGCTCCGGGCTTAGAGCACGCAGGAGAGGTTCCATCGGAAGCTGAGGCTTCCCATCTCTGCTATCAGATAAATCTTGTCAAGAGGCTCAAGTGACCTACCAACAGAAGGAATGTACTATCAGGGTATCTCCAAGAGAGGCGAGAGGAAAAACCTTTCATCACACGTACCTCTGGACTGGTGCCCCCTTCTCTGCTCGTGGAGAAAAGCAGCCACTAGGCTGTGCACATCCGCACATCAATAAGCAAGATTCTAGAACATGTCTCTGTTACTTGTGTGCACAAGCTAATGACACCCAGCAACCTACCAATCCGAGGGCTTCACCTTCAACCTGGAAAGACTGGCTGTGTTTTCGGCTTGCCTTGCTGGTGGGGCAAGGGAATCTCGGAAGTGCTGCAGGTCTGAGCTCAAGAAGAACAAAAGCAGAGCTTCTCTGTGCTTGGGGACCTCAGGCTCCTTAGTGGGGTGGCTTCAGCGGCAGGCTTCCTGAGTCAGAGAGAGCAGGCAGAGCCAGCCTTTGATGCCACCCACTGTGAACGAGGCCAGACACTGCCACTGCGGCGCCGCCCACTTGTAGGAGGTCCCGTGTGACCTGAAGCAGTGTGCACAACCACTGTCACCTGCAAATGTACCCGCCAAAAAAACGTGCCTCTGGGTTTGCGTTCGACTCCAGCTCAGTGTCAATGCTCTGTTAAAAAGATGTCCAATTAAGAAGGCTGTAACCTAACATGAGGCACTGAACAACAGAAATGCGTTGGAATGTTATAATGTTAAAAAACAGGGTCTCAGCCCAGGCAGACTAGATTTGAATCAATTCTCTGCTAATTATAAGTTGTCTGATTTTGGTCAAGGTGACCTCTAACTCCAGTTTTCACATCTGCAAAATGGAGCAAAAATTGTCCTCAGGGTTACTGCAAAAACGAAATGAGATTAAGCATTTCCATTTTCTAAACAGTTACCACTGATTATATAGAAAAGTTACTGATCCTGTGATCGGGTCCCCTTGCTTAACTCATAAAAATTCAAATGCTTTATCCGGTGATTCTCTGGACTTTCCTAAGCAAATCCTGTCACCCATAAAAGATAGTCTGGTCTCCTTTCCAATATTTGTGCCTTCTTTTTCTTGCCTTACTACATTTTGCCAGGGTTTCCAGCATGATATGGAAAAACAGAATGGCTCTGTTTGTCTTGAACCTAACTTTGGTGGGACTTCTAATGATTCTCTGTTATATATAATGTTTCCCGATAACTGGAGTGATTATAAAGTTCCCAAAGTTTTGGACTTTCCTGGTGGCGCAGTGGTTAAGAATCCCCCTGCCAACGCAGGGGACACGGGTTCAAGCCCTGGTCCAGGAGGATCCCACATGCCGCGGAGCAACTAAGCCCGTGCTCCACAACTACTGAGCCTGCGCTCTAGAGCCTGCGAGCCGCAACTACTGAGCCTTCGTGGCACAACTACTGAAGCCCATGCTCCTAGAGCCCATGCTCCGCAACAAGAGAAGCCACCACAGTGAGAAGCACGCACGCTGCAACGAAGAGTAGCCCCCGCTCGCCGCAGCTAGAGAAAGCCCGCGCGCGGCAACAAAGACCCAAAGCAGCCAAAAATAAATAAAATAAATAAATTTATAAAGTTCCAAAAGTTTCCTTGGATTCTAGATTGCTAAGAGTTTTCACCAAAAGATGTTGGATGTAACCAGATGGTTTTTCTGTGTCTATTGAGATGATTACAGTCTTTCACCTTTGTTTCATGAATGCATGAATCAAACAGTTA